ACANGTATCTATATATATATAATTACTAGCTAATAGAATTTAATAAAACCTATTTAATTTTACCTATGTGGCAATTTAACAATTTTTCCTTCAAAAACCGTTACATTTTGATGTATTTAATCTTTCATTTAATCATTAAATAATTAATACTCATCACTTCAAAATTACAAAAATCATTGTAAACTTTTGATTAATGACAGATGACAATATAATGTGTTGACCGTATAATGTGATTAGATGTTATTATTGTTGTTACATTTAATTTTTTTTTTTAAATAAAAAATATATTTGAAATTCCTAAATAAATAATAAATAATTCATAAATAAAAGACGTACTAAAATATACATTACATCCAATCAGATAAACGCAATTTAAAAAAAAATATTCCAACTCTTTTAATTGTAAATTTGGTCTGCAAAAAAATGAAAGAAAAATAATTAATCATTATATGTACAGACTCACAATAATTTATTTATATCTGTGCAAATGCACAGGCCGAATACTAATACTAATATATATAATTGCTAGCTAATCCCATTTAATAAAACATTTAATAAAAATACTTTCACTTTCCCTCCAAAAAGAGTTACATTTTTTTTAATTAATTACTCATTAATCTCACATTTAAGAAGGTTTTTTATAGTTAAATTTAATTAGTTAATGACTAAATTAAAAAAATTTATTTTAATTAATCCCACATTTATGTTAAGTACAATATTATCTTAATATCTTATTAGTTTTTCAAAAAAATAGTAACTAAATTTTATAAAAATTAGTCAAATGTGCTTATATTCATATAAATCAGAAAAAAAAATTAAATCTTAGATATATAAAGAACATTGTTGAAATAACTTGAATCCGCAAGGGTAATTCTATACTCATTATCAATTACTTAAAATTTTTTGTTTATATAAAAAATTAATATTATATTTACTCATTTATATTTAGATGGTATTTTTTTTATTAAGAAGCAAGGACAATCTCTATCAATCAATAAGAGTCGAGGACAAACAATATAAAGAAGTGTTTCCTATGCTATGACATGATCAATAAGAGTCAAAGAAAGTCTCTGTCGCACGTCGGCTTACTACTGAAGAGCTCTGCATTTAGTCATGAGCAATTTATACGTGGCGCTTTTTAGAGTTACAAGTCAGTGGGGTTTGAAGATTTTGATTTGAGATGAGGGAGATTTTGACGATAGAAAAACCACGACGTTTTATGAAGAAGTGTTTAAGAATATCTATATTTTTTTTTTCTTAATTTTTTTCAATGAATTTGTTATGATTTTTATTGTTGTTTATAATTTTTATTATTTTTTCATGTATCATATAGTTTTTCGTGCAAATGCACGGGACAAAAACTAGTTTAATTAAAACATTCAAAGAGTCTCTCAAAGTTGTTCATTATTCAAGTTAGGAAGATTTTACTAGAAGATTCTTCTCTCTCTTCTATCAAAGTACACTCATACTTTTTTCTATCCAGAGTTTCAAAGTAAAATAAATAAATTTTTAAATCTTGTTGATTGATTGATTCTGTGTTGTTAATTGATTCAAATTTGTGGTTTCTCTAGATTTTCAAAGTAAAAAATATAAATTTTTAAATTTTGTTGATTGATTGATTCTGTGTTGTTAATTGATTAAAATTTTGCGATATTTCTGTAGTGCTAACTGGATTAGAACACTAAGGGGATATTCAATTAAGACTCTTAGACTTTTTATGACTTTTTGAAGTGAATAACTTTTGTGGACTTTATACAACTTTTAATGTCTTTTGTGGATTTTTTTTGTGGATTTTTAAGATTGTTATGAAGATTTCTTAAAACTTTCAATGTTAACTTTTTGGGACTTTTTAAAACTTTTATATAATTCTTAATATAATAATTAAATTTGTATAAAATGTTCCTAAAAAAATATCTGCATAATAACTAATATCAATAAAGTCAAATTAGTAACTAAAAATTTATAATATTAATTTAAATGTGTGATGATATTAAACATATAGCTAGAAAATATTATAACGAACGAACTCCATAAATAAAAAAAAATGAAAAATATTCAGCAATCGAACTAAAAGAGTGCAATTATCTTATTGACATTTTAGGAAAATAGAAAAAAAAAATAACAAGATAAAATAAACAATACATCAAATATTTTGAAAAGAATAAAGTTGCGGTTGATTCAATTGTTTTGTTTGAAAATTATTTATAATGAAAAATACTACACGGGTCTAATTTTGAAACGATCAAAATTTTTATGGTCTTTGTTTAAATCAGAGATTTGAAATAAGAATAATCTCCTTAAATTGCTTTAATTGTAAAACGTGATGTATACAAGATTTAGATAGATTTATCACATATCATCCTCTAAATTAATGATTTTCGTTCTTAATTTCAAAATACCAAATCAAATTTTTATGGTATTTGTTTAAATCAGAGATTCAAAATATCTTAATCTCCATATTTAAATTGCTTTAATTGTAAAACATGATGTATACAAGATTTAGATAGATTTATCACACATCTCCCCTAAATTAATGATTTTATTTTTTTCTAAGTTTCAAAATACCAAATCCTAAAGTTGCGGCTGATTTAATTATTAAACGATATTTTGCAATCATAGATTCGGCTTATCTTCAAATTCAAAATTTAAATTGCCGATATGTAGATAAATTTGGACATATTAAATACATATGATCCCTAAAATGAAGGATTTTATTCCATTAAAAAACATAAAATATGAACTTAAGATGTAGATTTTATTATGCATGTGTGATAATACAATTTTACATGCTATGAAAGTCATATTGTTTACCCGTCATCGCACGGGCTACGCACTAGTCATTTCACAAGTTCGTTGCCAAACTCAATCTCCACGCCTTTGCGGCTTCTCTTTCCTGTTCTTGACTCTCAAAATATGGTCTGAAATCTTGCGTTTCACCTTTTGTTGAAACTCCATCTTCACCGTCAACTTGAAATACGTCGGATCGACACTCTTTGCACAAGAAATTATGTAATGTTGCACAACCTTACACTAGCTCTGCTTCTTTACGATATGGAAAATGTGAGGTTGTTTTTAAAATTGTGAAACGAGATTTAAATATGCCAAACATTTGCTCCACCAAATTTCTCAAAGAAGAATGACGAAGATTAAATATTTTTTTTTTTTTTGCATTAAAAGGGGGCAATATATGTTTCTCTACAGTTACCTTACTCAAATTTTCAGACTTATCACTCCATCTGTGGTTGACTGCATCAACTATGAGTTTAAGGACTTCATTACTCTATTCGGATATCCATTTTTTGTATCCCTGAATTTTTTCATTTTCCTAAGATGAATCTACCATTAGTACAATACCTAAATTTATTACAAACAAAAAAATTTCATCACTTTCAAATAGCCATACATGAAATGAGTTCTACATAATGACACAATACAACCTAACATTCTGACCACAAAATAAAACTTATATCTGAGCAAACTTCAGTTTGTGGTAAGCAAGTTTGGTTGTATTGTGTCATTATATTGAACGCATTTCACGTGTGGCTAGTTGAAAGTGCTGAAAATTTGTGTTTGCAATATATTTAGGTATTGTAGCAATGGTAGATTCATCACAGAGAAATGAAAATGTTCAACGATACGAAAAATGGACATCCGATGAGAGTAATGAATTGTTAAAACTCATAGTTGATGCAGCCAATCGTGGATGCCGTGGTAAGTCTTGAAATTGAGTAACGTAAGTGTAGAGAAATATATATTGTCCCTCTTAATGCAAAACTGGGAACTGAGAAGACGTATGCTCAATATAAAAGTGGTGTAAAATACTTTGAGAAGTAATACGATAAATATATCAAGCTTATGCAACATAACTCTGGCTTTGATTGGGATCATGTGACCGAGAAATTTACTGCTCACGAGCATATATGGGAAGATTACTTTAGGGTAAACATGTTAGAGTAATTGATAAGATTAAAATACTTCATACCATAGTGCTTAAATGACTTTTTTTTTTTACTAGTCTCATCCTGGGGATACGAATTACAAGANTACTAGTCTCATCTTGGGGATACGAGTTACAACACAGACAAGATTTGAGAATTGTTGTTGGTTGTGGAACTGTTATTGTTACAAGCTTAGTTGCGATAGGCGATGGTGTTGAAGAAACTACTTTCGAGACGGAAGAAAGAATGAAAAATATTAATTTTATGGACGATATAATGTTTGATCCAGATTGTGAGGTGTTCGTCAACACTAATAACACTCTTGACCATATGTCATTATCTCCGATGCACTATCCACCATTCGTTCAACATAAAAGTTCAGAAAAACTTCCATCCGTTGGAATGCGTAATAGAACCAATTTTGAAGCAAACCCCAAAAGCATTGCATTTGAGCCAAACAACCTCACAGAAAGTGTTAACAGATTGTTCTTGCTCTGGACTAAAGAGTATAATTGTTGGGGCATATAAAGGAGATTCCAAACTTAGATGAAGCTTCAAGGTCCTCGATTTTCTTAGTACTAGAGCAAAGAAAATGGAGTTTTGGAATATGGCACTGAAACAACGTGTGAAATAGATAGCATATAAATTAAGATGATCTATTCTTGCACCTATAAAACATAATAAGTGGTTGATGTTTTTGACTTCAATTTTTAGACATATTATTTGTTATTTTCCCTTATGGATAAATGCATATGGAGTTTGAACCTTGTTTGAGATGGTAACCACTCCAATGATTTTTTATTTATTTATTATGTTGATGATGTTTTGTAATTAATATTATTGTTATTTGATGGCTTATGTTTTTTCATACCATTGATGATATATATATTTTTTTTTCTATTTATTTCTCTCTTTCTATTTTATGTCCTTGTATTCACCTAATGTCCAATAACATGATGCATGGAGACCATGACACCATCATGGAAGTGAATGAGGAAAATGACTATGAAGAGACTTCACATGAAGCTAATAGTTTGTTGTGCTCTGCTTCTTGAACAAGCATATAACTGATTACTCTTTTCAAGGGGCAAACCGCTCATTGGCAAAGCGACCGTAACAAGTCATAGATATCCTCAAGTGTTTCTAAAACTATATCACATTATAAGAAAAAAAAAATTACAGAAGATACAAGGTACATTTGTATCGAGAAAATGCTTGCAATGTCCTTGCTCATCGTTGGTTAAAATAGTCGTTATTGTATGATTCGTAAAATATACGGTATATCCCATTTCAAAGCAAGTCAAAATTTCAACAAGGTTCTAAGAACATTAGAAAGGCTCGCAGTTGATATGATGGTGAAAGCCAGGATTTTTAGTCTCGAAAAAATAAGAGAGAGCACAAGGTAAATAAGGTAAGTGATATTATATATATATATATATATATATATATATATATATTTATATATATATATTTTTTTTAATTATGGCTATTTTGGCCAACGATGAGCAAGAACATCGCAAGCATTTCCTTGATATAAATGTACCTTATTTTTATTATTAAACTTTTTGGTTATTCAGGATGATATTGGAGCTATCGATGGAACTCATATTTCGACAATAATGTGAAAAAATGTCCCCCGTCATCGAAATTGTCATGGGATTATTTCACAAAACGTTTTTGTTGCTTGCAACTTTGATTTAGAATTCATTTATGTGTTTAGCGGTTGAGAAAGTTCATCACATGACTTTAAAATACTCAGTGATGCATGAATTAATTTATTTTTTTCATATGTATGTACATTTTTCTTGATATGTCATGTCATCATGACTTATGTGTTCCTAATTAATTATTTTATATCAGGTTAATGGTTTCTGGTAGATTGCGTATTTCCAAATTGACGTTAAATTTTTTCCTCCTTTTCAGCAAGGTATTAGATATCACCTTCAAGATTTTTCTGATCAAGAGTGTCATTTTGAAAATGCAAAAGAATTGTTTAAGATTCGGCATGTTTCTTTGAGGAATGTGGTGGAGCGAATAATTGGCATATTAAATCTCGTTTCACAATTTTCAAAATAGCCCTTCCTTTCCCATATCGTACACAAGCAGAGCTAGTCTTACCTTGTGCAGGATTACATATTTTTTTGCGCAAAGAGTGTCGATCCGACGAATTTCTAGTTGACGTTGAAGATGGTGTTTCAATAGAAGATGAAGCGCAAGGTTTCTGACCATATTTTGGAGGAGAAATGCTATAGGTACATAATATTGTACATAGAAGTGTACATAAAACTCACATTGAGTGGGACTTACCACAAATAAAAAATTAAGTGAACCCCACTCCATTTGAGTGTTATGTACACCTCTATACATTTATTATGTACTTGTAGCATTTTACTTTTGAGAGTCAGGAAAGAGAAGCCGCGAATGCATGGTGATTGAGTTTGGTAATGAACATGTGGCATGATGTGGAAAATATTTGATGTATTGTTAATTTTATTTTTGTTATTTTTTGTTTTTATTTTTTCCTAAAATGTCGATAACTATTGCACTCTTTTGGTCGACTGCTGAATACTTTTCATGCTTTTTTTCTTACGGAGTTCGTTTGTTGTAATGATTTTTTTCTCTTGTATTCATTCTAGCTCAATAGACAATGTTTAATATCATAACATATTTTAAATTAATCTTATAATTTTTTGATTACTAATTTTACTTTATTGATATTAGTTATTATGAACGTAATTTTTTTCATAAGCATTTCACACAAATTTAATTATTATATATGAATTATATAAAAGTCTTAAAAAGTCCCAAAAAGTTCACATTGAAAGTCTTAAAAAGTCTCCATAACAATTTCACAAAATCCACAATTCATTAAAAGTTGCGCATAAAGACCACGAAAGTCATATATTTTAAAAAGTCTCTAAGAGTCCTAATTGAATACACCCTTTAAAACTGCATATATCCTTCACGAGCTCAGTTCATTTTCAATTGTAATGTCGCTTTTTAGTTAAGTTATTCGAGTCTAATTGAGCTTTCATTCCATTGGCTTTATGGACTGTCTTCCAATTAATTTTGAAGTTTTTGTGGTTCAAATTCGGTTGGGTAAATTCGGGTGCAGGTCCGGTAAAAGACTCGACTGAGAAAATGTCGGTCAAACGATCACTCGTTGATTAAAACCAGACAAGAATCTTGGTGTTAATAATTGGGTAATGGGTTGGTAAGTAAATTTCGATATATGAAATTGCTTTGACTGAAAGAATGCTCGTAATTAGTTTCTTTCTTTAGGTTACGATTCTCGTCATGTACTAATTTGTGGAGATGTCAGAGGTGACTTTCCATCTAATGGTTTGATTTAGCTGTGATATCTCAGATATGCTTTTGCTATAACATAAAACATCCACTGATTTTGCTACTTATGCATTCTATAGGAAGTGTTTCTCAATATCTCATCTTGCAATTTCGAAAAATAAAAAGTTGTTACATGGCTCTGCTTAATTGAAGTTCCGCATTTGTTTAAACTAAAATTAGATTATAATTTCCTGAATTTTCATTGCGTCAGTCAATCTTTGGCGATTTCCTGCTGTATAGAAGATAATTTAGAATATGATACAACTATCTGTCAG